TCCCCCTTCCTTCCCCTTCCTTCTCCTTCCTTCTCCTTCTCCTCCTCTTCCGTACTCAGGAGACACAACAGCAGGGAGAGTCATGTTCCACTAATCTGCCATTCATATTGAATTTAATTAAGAGGGGCACGAGGAGGGGCTAAATCTCCTCTTGGTTAATTGTAATCTCCATCGCCCTCCTCCCCCAGGCACCGCAGACTTCAGGTGTAATCCCCCGGGCGTCAGGGAAGGGATTTAACTGATGGATTTCTCTAACTATGTATTTGCGTGAAGCTCCTCGTTTACATAATGTATCTCTGGTCTGGTTGTTTTGGAGTTGGAGAATAATACTCGTGCCGTTAAAGAAAGGCGGGCGATCGCTCGTCTGGCGTTCCGTCTAGGAGGTAGAGGAACGCCCACGTCGCTGTCGAGTGCTCTCGATGACGCTGTTTCCATGGTACTGGCTGAGGAGGATTGGATTAACTGTCTGGGCTTTGAAGCTCGGGAGTATTGTCAAGTTGTTGTGAGTTCCTGGTAAGAATTTTACGCAGGGTCAGTGTTAGGAGGCAAGAATCATATGTTTTGGTGAACTTTAACTTGAGCATCTTGAATCATATCGTTGACCAGCTGATGTGTTTTATAATAGAAGAATCTTTGGTCTATTAGGAACTGAAATTTGAGAACCTTGAATCTAGTCCATGCAGTCAAGGGCAGCCGAGAAAGCAGACTCTTCTCCTGCTCTTTGTTGTAGTCGTCGAGACCTTAAAGGCGTCGTCACACTGGCATTCTTTCGTCGACTTTTTATAATTTTCAATTTTCAGAAAGTAATCGAACTTTGTTGTGCACCGTAACACATGCGTTTAGAACCAACTTGCCAGTTTCTCTCGTTCGATAACTGTCAACAAACAAGATGGATCCAACTGACGAAGGAAGCGCAGCAATTCTACGCCTTCTTTTGGTATATGAAGAGTCCTGGTGATCCCAGAGACAACGACGCTACCTTACCTAGGCCACCAATAACTCCTGCAAGAGGTGTGTCCATACTTGGGAAATTATTTTATATGTTGGCTCCATCATGTTCTTTTTATTCCCGCGTGGTTAAAATGTAAACAACAAATGTTTATTTTCTTTACTTTTTAAAATCACGAAATTAAACATAATAATGAGTAATCTTGGGAAGAAGAGTAATAATTACTTAATAATAATTTTAGCTTTATATTTTAAGTAAAATTTAGTTTACTTTTTTATAACTATTTGTAGTATCAATTATTATAGATCTTGAGTCGACGATACGTAAAAAATCGACAGTAATGAAAAAGTTGACAATAAAAATGCTAGCGAGATACCCCCTTACCTCACACACTCGACTACCTCACACACTCCTACACACTCGACTTCTAACACACTCGACCAACGAACACTCGACTTCTAACACACTCGACTCCAGATAACTGTACAGTGTATCGCACTGGTGATTGTTGTGTTCAGTTGCGTAGTCTTGTTTTTGTCAGTGTGAGGTCATGGTAGTGTGGTGGTTGGTGAGTGTAGGTGGTCTTGGACAGCTATGGGTGTAAGCAGGAATAAGATACAACAGACATATGTGGGGTGTCAGCCGGTCATGGGAAGGAGTTGGTGTTGACAACCATGGGCGTGGGAGGCCGTGGGCGTGGATAGTTGTGGGCGCGATCGTGGTGTACTATCAGATTCTCGTGGTAAAAAAGCAGTTACCTGGCAGACACGTCAACGCTTTTTAACTTCATGATAATCCAATTTACTCAGCGTAATGAAGTGTTGGTATTCATGACCCTCACAGCTAGTTCACGTCTACGGTTTAATCCACAGACCATTAATGTTAAGCCTATATATTTTCACATGGGCACGTCTCTACACGTAAGACTCGAGTCATCCTTAACCAAATTCTTGAAGTATTAGTTGTGGTCCGTGCGTTTCACCACAGGGTGGCAGACCCTCGTGTGACGACAGCTGGTATGATGGACACTTGTCAAGGCGTTGGTGACCCTGAAGAGTAAAATACACCAGGGATGTGCTTTAATGACCTCGTGAAGAGTGACTGATCAAGACTGCGAGAAGCAATTCTCATAACGTGAAATTTCATGGTATATTATATACATATAGGTCACTCGTGTCATCCAACGCTCACTGTGGCTTCCTCTCAATGTGAGTTTCTGACAGAGGAAAAGGTAAATAGAAACTCACTATTCATTCAGTATTTACAAAGTATCAAGTATTTTACATACTGTAGCAGAGGTGATGTATTCAACACACACACACACAACACGTAAAAGTAACGTACTGTAAATGGAAACAGCGTCGTGTTGTCAGGACACTTCACGAGGAAAGTTTGTGGACTTTGATCGTTGTACACCGAGTCACTCGACTCTCTGGCCCTTCCTCCCCACACGTGTTGTTCTGACTTTACTAAGTCTTCAGGTCGGGGGCTTTTTCTCGTTACTGTTGTGTGTCCGTCTATTAGTAACATAAACCAAAACCTAACCTAACCACACCATCCTTCCTCCCCTTACCCCATCCTTCCTCCCTTACCCAACCCCCATCCTTCCTCCCTTACCCAACCCCATCCTTCCCTCCCTTACCCAACCCCATCCTTCCCTCCTTCCAACCCATCCTTCCCTCCTTACAACCATCCTTCCTCCTTCCAACCCCATCCTTCCCTCCACAACACCATCCTTCCCTCACCTTACCCAACCCATCCTTCCTCCCTTACCCAACCCATCCTTCCTCCTTACCCACCATCCTTCCTCACTTACCCAACCCATCCTTCCCTCACTTAACCCCTTCCCTCCCTTACCCAACCCATCCTTCCTCCTCCTCCTTCTCACCTTACCCAACCCATCCTTCCTCCTTACCTTATCCTTCCCTCCTTCCAACCACCCTTCCCTCCTTCCAACCCATCCTTCCTCCTTGCCAACCCACCCTTCACTCCTCCAACTTCCCTCCCTACCCCAACCCCATCCTTCCCTCCTTACCCAACCCCATCCTTCCTCCCCTTACCCAATCCTTCCCTCCTTACCCAACCCCATCCTTCCCTCCCCTTACCCAACCCCACCTTCCTCCTTACCCAACCCCATCCTTCCCTCCTCCCAACCCCATCCTTCCTCCCTTCCAACCCATCCTTCCCTCCTTACCCAACCCCATCCTTCCCTCCTACCCAACCCCATCCTTCCTCACCCAACCCCATCCTTCCCTCCTTACCCAACCCCATCCTTCCCTCCTTACCCAACCCCATCCTTCCTCCTTACCCCATCCTTCCCTCACCTTCCAACCTAAACCAATTTCTTTTAGCTTGATTTGGACCAAACCTTAGGTATTTCAAAGCTCAGGTGCGGTTGAAGGGGATTTGTTTATGATGATTGTAAGTTCGAGAGGTCAGAGTGCGAGGTCACAGTGAAAGGTCAGAGTGCGAGGTCATAGTGAAAGGTCAGAGTGCGAGGTCACAGTGAAAGGTCAGAGTGCGAGGTGCAGTGAAAAGGTCAGAGTGCGAGGTCACAGTGAAAGGTCAGAGTGCGAGGTCATAGTGAAAGGTCAGAGTGCGAGGTCACAGTGAAAGGTCAGAGTGCGAGGTCACAGTGAAAGACGATTGAGTGACTTAATTGATAGAAGACAATTGAGTGACTGAATGAAAGAGACAATTGAGTAACTGAATGAAAGAGACATTTGAGTAACTGAATGAAAGAGACAATTGAGTGACTGAATGATAGAAGTAGTGATGTCTGAATGTCTTACTTGTTCGGTCATTCTTCAGGTCAACGTCGTTCAAGTCGAGGTTGTTGTTCCCAGGAGGATCTATGTGTCAGACAGACAGACAGACAGACAGACAGATAGATAGATAGATAGATAGATAGATAGATTTCATTTGTAATATATATGAGAAGTATTTTTTAACTTGATATTTTTATTAGTTGGACTCGAAAAAAATAACTAGAAAAATTAATAATGTATGTGTATATATATTAATATATTTTTTCACGCTGTAGAACAAAAGAATAATTATTTTTTCTTTCTATTTTCAGGTGTGTGAGAGTTCTGACGTGGGACCAGGCTTTGTTGTGAGTATGGTGCCATTATGGTGTGGGTATGGTGTCACTATGGTATGAGTATGGTGTCACTATGGTGTGGGTATGGTGTCACTATGGTATGAGTATGGTGCCATTATGGTGTGGGTATGGTGTCACTATGGTATGAGTATGGTGCCATTATGGTGTGGGTATGGTGTCTGGTGGTGCGAGTAGGGTGTCATTATGGTGTGGGTATGTTTATATGGTGGTATGGTGTCACTATGGTGGTGGTATGGTGTCTTATGGTGTGTGGGTACGGTGCCATTATGGTGTGTGGGTATGGTGTCGTATATGGTGGTGTGGGTATGTGAATTATGGTGGTGTGGGTATGGTGTTACTATGGTGGTGTGGGTATGGTACTCATTATGGTGTGGGTATGGTACTGATATTGTGGGGTATGCCATTATATTGAGTTGGGTATGGCACCAGTATGTGGTGTGGGTACAGTACCATATGGTGGTGTGGGTATGGTTCTGTTGTGGGTATGATGCCACTGATATTGTGGGCATGATTATAGTGTTGTATGATAGAGAGAGAGAGAGAGAGAGAGCTACCCTCCGTCAATAAGAGGAACGTGCGTGGGATGATTTTATCGTCGTATCATTTCGTGTATGTGTTCAGCTGGCCCCAAATGTCTGTGTGAGGGAGACAAGGGGACGTTCCTTGATTTACTGGCCTCTTGGGATGTATTAAAGCACCGTGACAAGAGAACTCACTCAACCTAGAACATGATTTAACCTTCCCGGCCATATGAACGCGTCACATGTTCGTGTCAAAAGCAACGTGTAGTTCAGAAGTCTTTTTTTTTGTAGTTTCACCTCTGAACATCGTGCCAAGGAAGCGTCGGTGGCCACCTGCTGATTATATATGTATTTTAATTTAGAACCATCAGGCAGGTAGGTAGTTGGCCATCATCGGGAGCCCCTGATGGACGCTCGCCCACACGCCCTTGTCAAACACCGCCAGATTAATGCTAATGCCAACATGCAACGCAACCAGGCAGCTAGACCGCCAAGTAGCGAAGTAGCCAGCCAACAAATTAGCCATCCAACCAGCCAGCCAACTAACCACTCAGCCAACCAGCCAGCCAACTAGCCACTCAGCCAACCAGCCTGCCAACTAGCCAGTCAGTCACCCAACCTGCCAACTAGCCAGTCAGTCACCCAGCCTGCCAACTAGCCAGTCAGTCCCAACCAACTAGCCAGCCAGCTAGCCACGACCACATCAGGCCCGGTAGTCTTCTATCATGATGCCTGGTGTTCCGAGCAGGTTCGTGTGTAATATATTATCTTGTCTAACACACACACCTACCACTACCATACGATCTACCATCACCTCCAACCTCCACCACCTCCAACCTCCACCACCTCCAACCTCCACGATCACCACCCACTACCACCACCACCACCACCACCACCACCACCACTCATCTACCATCCAACCTCCACCACCTCGTCACCACCCACCATCACCACCACCACCACCACCACCACCCCAACACGTCCACCACCCCAACCTCACGATCATCTCCCACCTCAACCTCCCGTCACCACCACCACTACCACCACCACCCACCACCACCACCACTACTACTACCACCACCCACCACCACCACCACCCACCACCACCACCACTACTACACCACCACCCACCACCACCACCACCACCACCACCACCACCACCACCCACTACCACCACCACACCCCACACACCACTCACCCCCAACGTCACCACCTCCAACCTCCACGATCATCTCCCACCTCCAACCTCCACGATCACCTCCCACCTCCACCACCGACACACACAATTTCCCTCGCCTTTAAAAACTCCTCCAAAAGGCTTTACCTCACCTCTCCCTTGGTCGGTAGGCAGCGGCGGCCACTTGTGCGTGTTGCTGGAGCCGAACACCTACTCCCAGCTGGGGGGCATACCCTCCCACACCACAAAAATGCGCCAGCTTTCTGCCCCCCGTGTGTGTGCGTGCGCGAGTGCGTACGGGCGGGCGGGCGGGTTGGTGGATTGATGTTAAAAATAGTTTGTTGAATCGTTATTTTTGCCATTTGCATTTATATTATTTTTATACCGTTTACTGAAATATTTTTAGTAATTCCTTAATTAGCTATTTTATTTTCGTTTTAAATGTCATTTAAATTTATTTATATTTATTGTAATTTTATTGATGTGATTGCCATAATAGTTCCCGCTGACGTCATCTGTCTCGTCCCACCTCTCTCTCTCAGCGTCCAGTGTGGAGGTGACAGACCCTCACACTGCCTCATCTCCTGGTAGCGTCACCTCTGTGTCAGGTGGAGGTGACGGAGGAGCGTCACTCTTCATTCTCCCTTGTGTTATTAATTTAAGTCTATGACACACTCGCACACACGATACTTAGATTTTAGTATTTTATCTCTTAAACAAAGATATTTACATATTTACTGAAGTTATGCTATCGTTATTATTATTTTTATTATTATTATTGTTTTGTTATTGTGTTTTTATTTATATATAGAAGGTGGATTATGCCAAGGCATATGAGAGAGAGAGACTAGATACTACTTAATGGAAGCCCCTCGAAATCGAGGATGTCCGGCCGAAGGGCCTCCTAGGCTGTGAATTTGTTTAAGGTGTAGAATTTGTCGCCAACACAACAACACCTAAGTTAACGAGCTGCATGACCCAGTGTCAAGGAATAGTCCGAGAAGACCGGACAACTCGTCAACTGCACTGGCTAACCATTACCCTGGAATACGATTCCCAAATCGATTAACATCAGGTTCCCAATTACTGCTGGGTAGACAGAGGCAAATGGCGTAAAGAAACTTGCCCATAGTTTCACCCTGCCCGAGGATCGAACTCGGGTCCGCTCGCTTGCGAGGCGAGGATGCTGACCATTACACCACAGGTTGCCAGATACTACTTAGGATCCTTTGACCTGCAGGTGTGATCTTGACCTGACACTGAAGCTGTAGTTGAGAGTTGGTCATTTAAGTCACTTACGATACATATTCACGTCAGGATCCATCACGATACTTCAAACCATATAAGAGTTACGCTCCGGATAAGAAAACTTTTACGGAGACACAGACGAACGGACCGATGGACGGACGGATAGACGGACTACTTACCCTAATATATCCAATTTCAATACACAAATGTAAATTGTTTGACTTTGTTGCCTCTTGTACTTTGTCGAAATTACTCGATTCATTGTATAGATTGGAAGGGTGAGGCAAGGGAGGGAAAGGAAGGAGGGGATGAGATGAGCGAGTGAAGGAAGAGGGGAGGGGAGGAGGGGTGAGGGAAGGAGAGGGGAGGAGGGTGAGGGAAGGGAGAGGGGAGGAGGTGAGGGAGGGAGAGGGAGGAGGGTGAGGGGAAGGGAGAGGGGAGGAGGGGGAGGGGGGGGAGAGGGGAGGAGGGTGAGGAAGGGAGAGGGAGGAGGGTGAGGGAAGGGAGAGGGGGGAGGAGGGTGAGGGAGGGGAGAGGGAGGAGGGGAGGGAGGAGAGGGGAGAGGGGAGGAGGGTGAGGGAAGGGAGAGAGGTGGAGGAGGGTGAGGAAGGAGAGGGGAGGAGGGTGAGGGAAGGGAGAGAGAGGGAGAGGAGGGTGAGGGAAGGGAGAGGGAGGAGGGGTGAGGGAAGGGAGAGGGGAGAAGGGGTGAGGGAAGGGAGGAGAGAGGAGAGGAGAGGAGGGGGAGGGAAGGGAGAGAGTGGAGGAGGTGAGGAAAGGAGGGGAGGGAAGGGAGAGGAGAGGAGAGGAGGGGTGAGGGAAGGAATGAGGGGTGGGAGGGATGAGAGATGACTGGTGGAGGGTGAGGGAAAGGAGAGAGAGGAGGGTGAGGGAAGGAAGAGAGGAGAAAAAGAGGGGAGGAGGGTGAGGGAAGGAAGAGAAGAGGAGGAGAGTGAGGAATGGAGGAGAAAGAAAGGAGGGAAGAGGAGAGAGGAGTAGTGGAGGGTGAGGGAAGGAAGAGAGGAGGAGGAGAGAGAAGGGAGAGAAGAGGAGAGGGGAGCTGAACACACTCGAGGGGGAAAAGATAAACACGAAAATTAGAAACTGACTAGACTGTGACGTGTTGACAGCTGAGTAAAAGAGAGAAAGTAGGAAAAAATGGTTCTAGTGTGAGAGAGTGATGACTGCCAGGTGTAGAGAGTAAGAAAGTGATGATAGTGATGACTGCCAGGTGTAGAGGAAGAAAGGATGATAGTGATGACTGCCAGGTGTAGAGAGGAAAGTGATGACTGCCAGGTGTAGAGAGTAAGAAAGTGATGAAGGGATGACTGCAGGTGTAGAGAGTAAGAAAGGATGATAGTGATGACTGCCAGGTGAGAGAGTAAGAAAGTGATGATAGTGATGACTGCCAGGTGTAGAGAGTAAGAAAGTGATGACTGCCAGGTGTAGAGAGTAAGAAAGTGATGATAGTGATGACTGCCAGGTGTAGAGAGTAAGAAAGTGATGATAGTGATGACTGCCAGGTGTAGAGAGTAAGAAAGTGATGATATATGACTGCCAGGTGTAGAGAGAGTAAGAAAGTGATGATGCCAGGTGTGAGAGTAAGAAAGTGATATAGTGATGACTGCCAGGTGTAGAGAGAAGAAAGTGATGATAGTGATGACTGCCAGGTGTAGAGAGTAAGAAAGATGATAGTGATGACTGCCAGGTGGAGAGTAAGAAAGAAGGATGACTGCCAGTGGAGAGTAAGAAAGTGATGACTGCCAGGTGTAGAGAGTAAGAAAGTGATGATAGTGATGACTGCCAGGTGTAGAGAGTAAGAAAGTGATGACTGTCAGGTGTAGAGAGTAAGAAAGTGATGAAGTGATGACTGCCAGGTGTAGAGAGTAAGAAAGGATGACTGCCAGTGTAGAGAGTAAAAAAAGTGATGATGCGGTGTAGAGAGAAAGTGATGATAGTGATGACTGCGGGTGTAGAGAGGAAAATGATGATAGTGATGATGCCAGGTAGAGAGTAAGAAATTGATGATAGTGATGACTGCCAGGTGTAGAGAGTAAGAAAGGATGATAGTGATGACTGCCAGGTGTAGAGAGTAAGAAAGTGATGATAGTGATGACTGCCAGGTGTAGAGAGTAAGATAATGATAGTGATGACTGCCAGGTGAAGAGAAAGTGATAAAGTGATGACTGCCAGGTGTAGAGAGTAAGAAAGGATGATAGTGATGACTGCCAGGTGTAGAGAGAAGAAAGTGATGATAGTGATGACTGCCAGGTGTAGAGAGTAAGAAAGGATGATAGTGATGACTGCCAGGTAGAGAGTAAGAAAGTGATGATATGACTGCCAGGTGGAGAGAGTAAGAAAGATATGATGACTGCCAGGTGTAGAGAGTAAGAAAGTGATGATAGTGATGACTGCCAGGTGAGAGAGTAAGAAGTGATGAAAGGATGACTGCCAGGTGTAGGAGGAAGAAAGGATGATAGTGATACGTAGAGAGGAAGAAAGTGATGACTGCCAGGTAGAGAGTAAGAAAGTGATGAGATAGTGATGACTGCCAGGTGTAGAGAGTAAGAAAGTGATGATAGTGATGACTGCCAGGTGAGAAAGAGAGTAAGAAATGATGACTGCCAGGTAGAGAGTAAGAAAGTGATGATAGTGATGACTGCCAGGGAGAGTAAGAAAGGATGATAGTGATGACTGCCAGGTGTAGAGAGTAAGAAAGTGATGATAGGAGACTGCCAGGTGTAGAGAGTAAGAAAGTGATGATAGTGATGACTGCCAGGTGTAGAGAGTAACAAAGTGATGATAGTATGACTGCCAGGTGTAGAAAGAGAGTAAGAAAGTGATGATAGTAATGACTGCCAGGTGTAGAGAGTAAGAAAGTGATGATAGTGATGACTGTCAGGTGTAGAGAGTAAGAAAGTGATGATAGTGATGACTGCCAGGTGTAGAAAAGAGAAGAAAGGATGATAGTGATGACTGCCAGGTGTAGAGAGAGTAAGAAAGTGATGATAGTGATGACTGCCAGGTGTAGAAAGAGTAAGAAGAAGATAGTGATGACTGCCAGGTAGAGAGAGTAAGAAGGATGATAGTGATGACTGCCAGGTGTAGAGAGTAAGAAAGTGATGATAGTGATGACTGCCAGGTGTAGAAAGAGAGTAAGAAAGTGATGATAGTGATGACTGCCAGGTAGAGAAGAAAGGATATAGTGATGACTGCCAGGTGTAGAAAGAGGAGAAAGTGATGACTGCCAGGTGTAGAAAGAGGAAGAAAGGATAGAAAGTGATGACTGCCAGGTAGAAAGAGTGAGATAGTGATGATAGTGATGACTGCGAGGTAGAAAGAGGAGATTGTGATGATAGTGATGACTGCCAGGTGTAGAAAGAGAGAGTGAGAAAGTGATGATAGTGTTGGCTTCTAGGTGTAGAAAGAGAGAGAAAGTGATGATAGTGATGACGTCAGGTAGAAAGATGAGATAGGATGATAGTGATGACTGCCAGGTGAAAGAGAAAGTGATGATAGTGGTGACTAAGAGAAAGTGATGATAGTGATGACTGAGAGAAAGTGATGATAGTGATGATTGAGAGAGTGATGATAGTGATGACTGAAAGTCTTGATAGTGATGTCTGACAGTTGTAGAATGAGAGTGAGAAAGTGATGATAGTGATGACTGAGAGAAAGTGATGATACTATAGTGATGGCTGAGAGCTCCTTATCAACATGTGGATCCTGTAGGAATTACCACTAGTCACCTCCTGTTCCCCCGGGGCCCTGAGGGAGGAGGAGGGAGGACCTAAACTCCTCAGTTGTACAGTTGTGGTCACAATTCCCCAGACACCTTCTGACAATATCTGGCGTCGTCTGCTTGATGGTCAGTCAGGGGAGAGATGATTGCGTTGTCTGTATATTTTTCTTCGTATTAATGTGTTTTTATGATTGATCCCATCCTATCCTATCCCATCCCATCCTCATTTTCTTATCTCATTCCATTTTCTTATCCACCCTCATCATTCCATCCTATCTCATCCCTCCTTCCCTTCTTGTCTCATTTCATCCATTCTTCCCTTCTTACCTCATCCCTTCTTCCCATCCCATCTCACTCCTTCTCTGCCCGTCTTCCTTTCCTATCCCATCCCTTTTTCCCATCCTATATCCATCCCTTCCCTCCTCCCTCACTCTCCTCTCCCCGAACCCTCCCTCCTTCCCTCCCTCAGTGACTTGTTCCACCATTAATGTACAAGGAGCTAATAATAATGGCTAGACTTAAGTAAGGTGTACACGTCTCGTCCATTGTGTTAGTGGTGGGGTCGAGATTGTGGTGCGGATAGTGTACACCAGACGTGACCTGCTAAGTGACTCGTGGTTCCCGGGTCGTGGTTCTCAAAGGCTCGTTTAATGAATATGCCTCGTGGTTCCTAGGTCGTGGTTCTCAAAGGCTCGTATAATGAATATGCCTCGTGGTTCCTGGGTCGGTTCTCAAAGGCTCGTATAATGAATATGCCTCGTGGTTCCTGGGTCGTTCTCAAGGCTCGTATAATGAATATGTCTCGTGGTTCCTGGGTCTGGTTCTCAAAGGCTCGTATAATGAATATGCCTCGTGGTTCCTGGGTCGGTTCTCAAAGGCTCGTATAATGAATATGCTCGTGGTTCCTGGGTCGTGGTTCTCAAAGGCTCGTATAATGAATATGTCTCGTGGTTCCTGGGTCGTGGTTCTCAAAGGCTCGTATAATTAATATTTCTCGTTACTGAAGGTGTTAAGAATGCATTTTAACTCGCCGAATTGAACTTAATCAAATAATTTTCACATATACGACATCAAAATTACACGTTGGAAAACTTCCTTAACTAGATATACGTCAGTTAGCACCAGTTAGGGATAAATTAAAGTGAATATATCCTGTTTTAGTAGAATCTCGGTATAATTTTCATAATATTTTTGTAAGTTACTTTTGGTTCCTTAGCTCTAGTATATCAGTTAAGTGGATTTTTACATCTTGACTTACGAGGATTATTGATGGTAAGAACTTTAGTGAGTGGAAAGAATAGTAACTTTTTAATTTCATGAATACCAATGTAAGTACAGTTTCAGGTACAAGGGAGGATACAGTAAGCTTAGTACAGTGTGAGTGTATAGTGGTGCTGTACCGTACACTGTACACGTTGACCTGAAATAAGAAAAAGTTCCCCTTAATCCTATACAATGGAGTCTCCCTAATTCACCTGACTCGTTGTCTAGGTTCTCTCTATCTCCTCCTTTCCTTCCTTCTCCCTTCCCTCATCAATCTCATTCTTCCTCCTTATTTCTCCCTGTCCACAGCTTTTTTCTTCTTTTCCATCTATCTCCTTACCCCTCCCTTCCTTCCTGTCCCCTTCCTACCCCTCTCTCCTCCCTTCATTCCCTCCTCTTCATTCCTCCTCATCCCTCCTCCTCGTCCCCATCCTCTCCTGTCCCTCCTCCTCTCCCCCCCCCAGGACGTGAGGATAAGATCTGGGGCGTGGGTCGGATTGTGTTTTTGTCACTTCGATATTGTGGTGAGGGAACAGAAATTAAGAACAAATACCTCATCTATGGGGGAGAGTGAGGGGGTGGGGGAGAGTGAAGGTGATGGGGGAGAGTGAGGGGTGATGGGGGAGAGTGAGGAGTGGTGGGGAGAGGGGAGGGTGGTGGGGGAGGGGGACGAGTGGTGGGGGGAGATGAGGGGATGGGGGAGAGTGAGGGGTGATGGGGAGAGGAGGAGGGTGGGGGGAGAAGGAGGGGTGGTGGGGGAGGGGGACGAGGGTGGGGAGAGGAGGGGTGGGAGGGAATGTGAGGGGTGGTGGGGAGAGGAGTGGGGGAGAGGAAGGGGGAGGGGAGAGGAGGGGTGGGTAGGGGGGAAGGGGTAGGGGAGGAGAGGGACGGGGTGTGGGGGGGGGGACGGGTGGTGGGGGATAGGGACGGGTGGTGGGGATAGGGACGGGTGGTGGGGAGAGAGGGGGGGTGGGGGGAGAGTGAGGGGTGGTGGGGGAGAGTGAGGGGTGGTGGTGGAGGGGACGAGTGGTGGGGAAGAATGAGGGGTGGTGGTGGGGGGATAGGGATGGTGGGGGATAGGGACGGGTGGTGGGGGAGAGGGGGGGTGGGGGAGAGGAGGGGTGGTGGGGAGAGTGAGGGGTGGTGGTGGGAGGGGACGAGTGGTGGGGCAGAGTGACGGGTGGTGGTGGGGGAGGGACGGGTGGGGATAGGGACGGTGGTGGGAGACGGGTGGTGTGGGGAGAGGGACGGGTGGTGGGGGATAGGGACGGGTGGTGGGGAGAGAGACGGGTGGTGGGGAGAGAGGGGTGGTGGGGGGAGAGAGAGGGGTGGTGGGGGAGAGGAGGGTGTGTGGGGGGAGAGAGGGCGGTGGGGGAGAGCGAGGGGTGGTGGGGGACAGGAGGTGGTGGGAGAGAAGGGTGGTGGGAGTGAGAGTGGGTGGTGGGGGGAGAGCGAGGGGTGGTGGGGACAGTGAAGGTGGTGGAGGGGAGGAGGCCGCTCAACAGCACCACCACCACAGTTCCAGTTACCATCACTTCCACTACTATCACCACTACCACTACTATCACCACTACCACTTCCTACTATCACTACTAACCTCAATTAGTTACCTCCACTCACCACCAATACCAGTTACCACTCATTATCACCAGTATCAGACACCACTCACTACCACTATCACCTTTTACCACCAACATCACCCATGCTCTACCAGTTACCACCACTCATCACCACCACACACGTATCACAGTTACTATAGTATTCAAACCCCTCGGCAAGCTAAAGAATGATGCAATTTATTTCTCCGCAAGTAATCTGTCGGCAACCTTTCTTGGGGAGTCAATATTTTTGTCAAGGTATCGACACTGAACGATGGCAAGGTGATGACGGCATCTCGGTTTACGTGATTGCAGGAGAGTGGTGGTGGTTGGTAGTGATGGTGGTTGTTTTTTTTGTTTAATGGTGGTTGTTGGTGGTGGTGGTGATTGTTGTTGGTAGTGATGATTGGTTTTGGTGGTGATGGTTGGTGATGATTCTAGTTGGTGGTGACTGTTGTTAATTTTGTTGTTATGTGGTGGTGGTTGTGGTTGATAACGGTTGGTAGTATGAGTGATGACAATGATAGCATTCCATAAGAACATGCATAATGACTTTTCCTGATATTATTGGGATGAATCATTGGAACCCAAAAATAGGCTAAAGAAGATGAAGAAGAAGAAAAAGAAGAAGAAATAAATAAATAAATAAGAAAGAAGAAGAAGAAGAAGAAAATAAAGAAGTAAAGGAAGAAAAGTAAGAAAGAATAAGTAGAATAAAAGTTAAAGAAGAAGAAGAAGAAGAAGAAGAAGAATAAGAAGAAGAAGAAGAAGAAGAAGAAGAAGTAAAGAAGAATAAATAAAGAAGAAGAATAAATAAGAAGAAGAAGAATAAATAATAAAAGAAGAAGAATAGTTAAGAAGAAGAAAGAAGAAGAAGAAGAAGAATAAGAAGAAGAGAATAATAGAAGAAGAAGAAGAAGAAGAAGAAGAAGAAGAAAGAAGAAGAAGAAATAAAGAAGAAGAAGAAAAGAAGAAGAAGAAAGAAGAAAAAGAAGAAGAAGAAGAAGAAGAAAGAAGAAGAAAGAAGAAAAAAAGAAGAAGAAAGAAAAAAAGAAGAAGAAGAAAAAGAAGAAATAAAGAAGAAGAAGAAGAAGAAGAAGAAGAAGAAGAAGAAGAAGAAGAAGAAGAAGAAGAAGAAGAAGAAGAAGAAGAAGAAGAAGAAGAAGAAGAAGAAGAAGAAGAAGAAGAAGAAGAAGAAGAAGAAGAAGAAGAAGAAGAAGAAGAAGAAGAAGATACATAATTATTAATCTATTATTATTATCCTCGACTAGAAACGAAAAGAAAGAAAGGAAGACACAGAGAAAGTTGGATGATTATAGAGATGGTGAAAGTGTTGTGTATTGAGGTATGACGTCACAGCATGAAGGAGTTATTGAGGCAGTGAAGCGAGCCATGATAACCTCCAGCAAGGGTTTACATGATAGCCTAACCTGGACTCAACTTTTAAAGGTTTGGTGGGGTTTTTGTCCAGGTGTGTGTTTCGTCCAGGTGTTGTGTTTCGTCCAGGTGTTGGGTTGTTTGTCCAGGTTGTTATGGTTTTTTTCAGGTGTTGTTTTGTCCAGGTGTTTGTGTCCAGGTGTTATGGTTTTGTTCGGGTGTTGTTTTGTCCAGGTGTTTGTGTCCAGATGGTGGTTTTGTGTCCAGGTGTTGTTTTGTTCAGGTAGAATAAAGGTGAACATGTTTTAGCAAGATTTAGTGACAATGTGAGTTTAATGATAATAATAATAATAATAATAATAATAATAATAATAATAATACGACAACAAAAGAAGAAGAAGAAGAAGAAGAAGAAGAAGATACGGTCACATACTTAGCACATGTTATCTGACTCACTATACTGTAGGATTTTCCCGCCGGGCGTCATGCCTGTGGGGGTGTATATGTAGGTTATTGGTGGCGATTAGGTTAGGTTAGGTTTGGGTAGTTAGTTTAGGTTAAGGTAGGGAGGTTAAGTCTGGGTAGGGTGGTGTGATTAAGTTAGGGTAGATATCCTGCAAGTTGTTAATGCTCCTATATCGTAACGTTAATATTTGTGTATATTTTCTGTATCTTATATACGTCGGTTAGTCATTGTTAGTTGCTCTTTCGGTGGTCAAGGGCAGTTATCAATTACTGTCCTAAGTCCTGATTCTACCTCACTGTTACCTTAGAAATTACCCTAAGATATGTCAGGGTAACAAACATGTTGAAGGCCCTAGTAAGGCGGCTCGTACCCTCCACTGAACACAGCTGGTGTAAGACTCATAAGGACAGTGACTGATTCATCGATGGTTGTGGCAGTGTTGTTGGGGACTCGTGTGGGCGTGATCCTCCATCGGCGTGATCCTCTGTGGGTGTGATCCTCTGTGGGTGTGATCCTCTGTGGGTGTGATCCTCCATGGGTGTGTTCCCTCCAGGGTGTGATCCTCTGTGGGCGTGATACACTCGGCGTTATCCTCCAGTGGCGTGACCTGAAAGGAAGTAGAGAATCAGAGAGAGAGAGAGAGAGAGAGAGAGAGAGAGAGAGAGAGAGAGAGAGAGAGAGAGAGAGAGAGAGAGAGAGCAGCTTTCCCCTGACAGTGATGTGGATTAATGCTTAGGATCCTGTCAGCGGATACAGGTATATTCTGCCCTGTCACTTGTCTGTCCTGTCACCTGTAAAGTGGTATCTACCTCTTGACCGTTATCACTCTTACAATTGTCAAGTGTCGACTGTCACTTACCTGTCGTCTTATCCTGTGTCAAGTGTGTCATCCTCTTTCATCTGTCAATCGTCTTTCTCTGTCTATTGTCGTGTCATCTCCCTGTCAAATATCAAACACTTCTCCTTTAGCTTCCAGTTCCCTTCTGTCATTATCAAGTGGATCATTACTCTTTATCCCCTTAAACTGCCAAGTCCAGGTACCTTCCTCCCTATAGCTGTCAAGTGCTGCCCACCCTCTCCACCTGTCAGTCACCCCCTCCCTCTCCACCAGTCACCCCCCTCTCCACCTGTCATTCACCCTCTCTCCATCTGTCAGTCA